CCCATCATTGACTGTTCCGAGTGTCAGGTTCATTGTTGTTCAAACAAGATTTTCTCATGGTTGGTGTCGGATGCTGGCCAGTGCCATTCTCTCCAATGTGTCGGTGGAAACTATTGGGTATGGGAGAAGGTATAAACATACAGATCGTGTGTTTTGGGTTATGCAGTACATTGAGAAGGAGAGGCTCCGGGACAGCGATGTTGTTGTTGTGTACGATGGTGCTGATACGCTTTTCAGTGGTGCCTCCACGGTGCAGCAGGCTGTAGACAGGTTCATTGCCACGACAGCACCAACTCCCGATGCCTTTGATGCTGGAGCTGTGCGTCGTGGTGTGGCTACAGCACCAGTGCTATTCTCAGCAGAAGCCAACTGTTATCATCCCCAGTTGACGGATAGTGGAAAATGGGGTGTTTCAAAGGGTCGGTGTATTTCTGCGTACTGGAGAGCATATAACTATTGGGTAGGGGGATGCAGTGGTGATGTTTGTAACGAAAAGCTTAGGTTGCATTACCTTAATGCAGGTGGTTACGTTGCACGTGTGTGGGCGCTGAAGCAGACATTTGTTGCTTTTCGTGATGTGTTGCAACGGAAACGTTGGTGGTGTGACCAGAGTGCGTGGGGACTGGTGTACCTGTGGAGCATCACCCAGGATGCACGTATGACACCCGATGTGCGCATTCCGCGTGGTCTGATAAACCTGGACTTCCATAACGAATTTTTTTTTTCGCTACATAGTATGCGTTTTGAAATAGATATTCTTTTTTGGAGTTCCACAGCCATTGCAAATGTGGTGGCGGGTGGCAGGTTGCCGTTTCCTCTCTTCTTTAATATTGTGGACAAGCCCAACGCCACTCCAGCCATTCTGCATTTTAATGGTCTTGGGCGTAATGTTGGTTTTTTTCTGGAGAAGATGCGTAATCACACCTCTTGGTATGTGGAAAACAAGCGTTCGGTTGATGCGGCTGAGAAGGCCAGGGATATGCTTAAAAGTTACTCCCGCATTAAGGTTTGTGGCGATGGTGATTGTAATTTGGCGCTTTTTTCTCAATTTTGTCCCGTGTTTTTGTAGGAAATTCTTTTTTTTTTTTCTGTGTGTGTGTGTGTGTTTTGTTGTTGTTTTTTTTTTTTGTTGTTGTTGTTGTTATATTTTGCGAAAAATAAATGTGTTTTTTTTTTTTTTTTATGTGGTGGGTGGGGTTCTTATTTTAGCATAGGTAAGGAAAATATGTCTCTTGATATTTTTGAGGCGTTTTCGAAAAAAACGGTTTTCGTTACTGGTGGCAGTGGTTTTATGGGAAAGGTTCTTCTTTTTAAGCTGCTGAAGGAGTTCCCCGATATTGAAACAATCTACGTACTTATTCGAGGTAAGAAATCACGTAAGTTTAAGCGTTTTCTTGGTCCCCAGGAGCGTTTAGAGAAGGAGATATTGAGTTCGCTTTGTTTTGAACCCCTTAAGTCAACTCTTGGTGAAGATAAGTTTAAATCACTCTGCAAACGAGTAATAGCAGTAGAGGGTAATATCACAGATGATAGACTGGGACTTTGTGAAAAAAATTGTAAAAAGATCTTAGAGTCTGTTAATTTCGTTATTCATGTTGCCGCTACCGTTAATTTTGATGAACCCCTTAATGTCGCTGTGGAAACTAATACATTGGGTTCTCTTCGAGTCCTTGCTCTGGCCAAACAGTGTAGAAAACTGGAAGCGATGGTTCATATTTCTACATGTTATGTTAATTATAACCTTGAAGGGAGTATTGTGGAGGAATGTCTTTATCCTTTACCTTTTGACCCAGAGGCAATGTGTAAATATATTCTTGCACTACATGATAATGAAGTTGATATGGTTACTGAGAAACTTTTGAAGAAATACGGTTTTCCAAATACGTATACGTTTACAAAAGCAATGGGAGAACATTTAATTCGTGCATCTAGGGGAAATTGTCCTATTTCTATTGTTAGACCTTCTATAGTTGGGTGTAGTTTTAAAGAACCATTCCCTGGTTGGGTAGATGCGTTAACAGCTGCTGGAGGGTTGTTATTGACATCTGGATTGGGTGTAGTGCAAGAAATTAATGGTCGTGAAGATGCTATTGCAGATATTGTTCCTGTGGATTTTGTTGTTAATACTATTATTAAGGCACTTTTTAAGACTCAACTTTATGTAAAAAGTCAACGAGTAGATGTTAATGTCTCAGAACAATCACGAGGACAGGAGTTTGGAAGTACGCTTCTTAAAACTTTAGCATCTCCTGAATCATTTATTAAAAAAGGATCTAATGGTATAGAAGGTGGAAGAACTTTAACTAGTATTTCTTTGGAACAACAACAACAACAACAACAACAGCAACAGGATGGGATTTCTTCTGTTTCTTTTACACGATCTGATGTAATACAAGATGCTCTTCCATTTGTCTTTCATGCTGCAACTTCTTCTTCAGTAAATCATCTAACATGGAGACGACTTCGAGATGCTACAAAATATTATTGGGATTGGAAGAAACGTCATCCTAGAGCTATTGCCCCTATGCGTACAGAATTAATTGAATCACAAATTGAATATTTAATAAAATTTTTCTTTCGTCGTGAATTACCTTACCAAGTTTTGCGTTGTGTTTCAATGCTTCCTCCACCTATTGGATCTGAAGAAAAACGACAACTTGTTAAAAAACTTGGTAAAGCAGTTTTTAGAGCAAAGGATTTAAATCGTCAATTTCAAGCTTTTACTTCACGTGAATGGATCTTTTCTACGGTAAATACCAAATCGTTAGATGATGGTCTCAATGACCATTCTCGACAGGCCTTTTACTTTGATACATATATGATTAATTGGTGGTTTTATGCCCATGCGTATTCCCATGGAATGTTAAAGTATATTGTAAATGATACTGGTGATTACACATTTCCTAAGCAACCAGAAACTCCCACCGATATCTTCAAGCGGGCATCTTCACTTTGACACAAAGAAAATGAGTAATAGAGATTCAAAAAAAAAAAAAAAAAGGTTAATAAAAAAAAATTAAAAAGAGTACTTATAAAAGAAAAAATAAAAATGATATCTAAACTGGTTCCCCGACTGTTTTTTCTTTTTTTAATGTAAAAGGTTGAGATTTTAGAATAATAAATTTTTAATAGGAAACAACAACAACAACAAAAAAAGAAACCGGATTGTTTTTTTTTTTTTTTAAGAGACTAAGTTCTTCGCCAATTTCATCTTTGTGCTCCGGAATAGGCTTTTGTGCATGGTATAAGAAAAAAAAAAAAAAAGTGAGAGAGGGAGAGAGAGAGAGAGGGGATGGAGTTGATACCGTTGTTTCTTTGTGTTTGCGTTTTCTTTATTATTGTTATAATTGTTCTTTGCGATGTTTCATTTTTCAAATGATTTCTTTTTTCTTCTTCTTCTTCTGGTATTTGTTTTTTTTTTTGTTTTTGTTTTTATAGTTGTAGGGATTCTGCCGGCGGAAAGGCCCTGGAAGGGGCCATTAAAGGAAGGGGGAAGATGCCCGAAAGGGCGCCAAAGGAATAAAGAAAAAAAAAAAAAAAAAAAAAAAGCCCCACGAGGAACCGCCGCCAACGCTCTTCTTCCTCCTCCGATTGGTGTTTGTGTGTGCGGGGTGGAGGGGCGACGGAATTTTATTTCATTTTTTTTTTTTTTTTTTTTTTTTTTTTTCGGCCCCTCGCTTCCATTTTGTAGGGAATTAGTAGGAAACCTTTCTGAGCTGATAAAGGGTTGTGGGGCGAAAGATAAAAAAAATTGCTCCCAACAGGGGTCGAACCTGTGACCTTGGGCTTATTAGACCCACGCTCTAACCGACTGAGCTATAGGAGCCCTAAAACAAAATTAAAAAAAATATGTTTTTTATAGACAAAAGGGGGAGAAAGAAAACGAAGAGAAGAAGAAAAGAAAAAAAACAAAATGCTCCTACCTGGACTCGAACCAGGGTTATCGGATTCAGAGTCCGAGGTGATAACCGCTACACTATAGGAGCCACGATGAAAAATCGTATAAAAATAAATTATAATTTTTTAAAAAAAATACCCAAAGTAAACTACCTACGGAAATTGGTACTTTTGAAATTTTTTTTTTATTTTGAAAAATAAAAATGATGAAAAATTCCCATCACGGCTCCTATAGTGTAGCGGTTATCACCTCGGACTCTGAATCCGATAACCCTGGTTCGAGTCCAGGTAGGAGCATTTTATTTTTTTTTCTTTTTTTTTATTATACATGTATATATATATATAATTGTGATATTTTTTTAATTCTCTTCAGCGCTGGGGTTCCCGAGTTGGTCAAAGGGGTAAGACTTAAGTTCTTATGCGCAAGCTTCGTGGGTTCGAACCCCACCCCCAGCAATGTTTTTTTCTTTTTCGATCAGGAAAAAAAAAGTTCGGAAATTTTGAAGGGTTCGCGAAACCATCCGAAAAAAAGAGAAACGAAAAGAAAAAAAAAAAAAGAATCCCACGAGTGACTTTTCTGACACTGTCATTTCTGGGGATCCAAGGTTAAATAAAAACAAAGAATTCAATCTTCGGAAAATGGCATTTTTTTGACGGGGATTTGGCCACTTGGGGGGGCCGGGCAAAGCATATATCACTTTTGGAAATCTTTAAACCGGACCGCCGCGTTAAAAAAAAAAAAAAATAATAATAATAATGAGCGGATAAAGGCGCCACCAACGCACCCTCGGGGCAGGAACGATGGGACAAATCTTTTTTTTTTTTTTTTTTCAGAAACGGCGTCCCGGGATGAAAAATTCGGGCCCGGAGACGCCTAACCGCCCTCGGCTTCAAAATTCCGCCGGAAAGAAAAACGCCCGCGGAACGACTCGCGACCGGCGTGGGTTTCGAAACCCCGACAAAAATAATCGGGGAATCTCTCTTCCGCAGCTGCGCCGCCTTCGGGGGTGTGTCAAAGTTATATATATATTTTTTTTTAAAAAAACCAAATCTTTTTGGT